CTCCTTTGGCAAGGGAAACAAAAACAAAAATAAACTATTGAGACTACATCAAAATTAAAAGCTTCTGTACAGTGAAGGACACAATCAACAAAAACTAAAAGGCAACCTGTGGTATGGGAAAAGATATTTGCAAATGACATATCCGATAAAGGGTTAGTATCCAAAATATATAAAGAACTTATACAACTCAACATCCCAAAAACAAATGATCCAGTTTAAAAATGGACAGAAGACATGAACATTTTTCCAAAGAAGACATCCAGATGGCCAAGAGACACATAAAAAGCTCAACATCACTCACCATCAGGGAAATGCAAATCAAAACCACGATGAGATACCACCTCACACCTGTTGGAATGGCTAAAATCAATACAAGAAACAACAAGTTTTGGCAAGGATGTAGAGAAAAAGGAGCCCTCTTGCACTGTTGGTGGGAATGCAAACTGGTGTAGCCACTATGGGAGACAGTATGGAGGTTCCTTGAAAAGTTAAAAACAGAACTACCCTACAATATAGCAATCACACTACTAGGTACCTACCCAAGGAATACGAAAATAGTAATCCAACGGGATACCTGCACCTGATGTTTATAGCATCATTATTTATAGTAGCCAAGATATGGAAACAGCCCAAGCGTCCATTGATTAATGAATGCATAAAGAAGATGTGGTATATATACATAATGGAATATTACTCAGCCATAAAGAAGAATGATATCTTGCCATTTGCAACAACATGGATGGAGCTAGAGAGTATTATGCTAAGAAAATAAGTCAGAGAAAGACAAATGCCTTATGATTTCACTCATGTGGAATTTAAGAAACAAAAGAAATGAACAAAAGTGGAGGGGGAAGAGAGGCAAACCAAGAAACAGACTCTTAACTGTAGAGAACAAACTAATAAGTTATCAGAGGGGAGGTAGGTAAGGGGGTGGGTTAAATAGATGATGGCGATTAAGGAGTGCACTCGTGATGAGCACCGGGTGTTGTTTGGAAATGTTGAATCACTGTATTGTATGCTTGAAACTAATATTACCCTGTGTGTTAACTAACTGGAATTTAAATAAAAACTTAAAAAAAAGTGGTGGCAGAGCTGGGATCAGAACCCGGTCAATGACTTAAGAGCCTACATCCTTTGCTCTTGTGCCTCCCATGATAGATAGCAGTGCTTGCAGAATGCTTCTTTGCCGGGAAAGATTCAGATGTGTTGGTCCTTAGCCTGATGGAAATAGGTAGCACCCTTGCAAGTTTTGAATTACAAGTTTCCCTGCCCTGGAATGCAGTTAAGAAAACTTAAACATCACCATATATTTCCTTAAGGTCCTAAAATATATGTATTGTGCCAAGGTTACAGTCTTGGCCTTGTCATTGGCTGTAAGTTTGGACAAGTTTTTTAAGCCTGGCCTTTGGGTATTTCCAATGTAAAAAGAAGGGATTAGATTAGACAATTCTCTGTATGACCTACAAGCTCAATAAATTATCTGATTCTGTACAAAAATTAAAGGTTGATACCGACTTTTTGTCCAGTCATCTAAAACCTATTGTTCCAAATGAAAAAATAATTTAAGAAAGTATGGGTAGTAAGTGTTCCTGTCTTCTACTCATCTCCTTGTTATTTTAAGTACTCAAAAAATTTATACCAGGCTACTGGTTCACACCATCCTGAAGTGTATATGTTGTGTGCTCAATTTTAAAGGCTGGGACTATTCCCAGAAGGTCTGTGCTGGTCACAAACAAAGCAGAACACTCAAGGGCTCAGCACTAAAAATATCACATAAAAATGCTTCCTTCATGCACTCATTGGAACAGGTAATTACTGTGGCAACAATAAACTAATTTGAAGTGTTAGCTGTTAATTAAGACAATGCAGAAGTGTATAGTTGTCTTTTGGTGTAACCAGAGCCTCCATTCAAACTTCATTAATCACTTTATAGTTAATTGTGTTGGGGAAGGTCAAGACAATTGAGATGCAGTATCCGTTGAAAGTAAACAAATTCCTTTTCTCCAGGTAGGATGCCATTTGCAAAGTTAAGGGACACATTCGACTCATGCCTGGCCTTGCCTTTGTCATCCACTTCTCCTTGATAATTAAATGTTAAACCAGCACTGTCATTGTACTGTAAACCAAACCTCACAGCATCTTTATTGCTCGAAATCGAACCCAAACTTCCACGGATGAATTAGCGTGCATCATAATTAAATCATCAAGCCTCTCCCTTTTGATTCACTTGGAAATAGGAGACCTTTCTTTTGGAAAAGCTTTCTTGACAAGCTTATTAAGTTGCCAAACTGTCCAGTATGGTATACACATTAGACCATCTTCTAGTCATCTCCTTATCACCACTGTTGATTTCAAACGTCCAGGTGTTTTGTTGTCCAAAATAACAACCACTATTCTTTTTGCAAATTTTGAATCCTTTTGTATGATTTCAACTGTTTTATCTTCATATTTCAGTCCTTGGTTAGGAATTCTAATATACAGAATTTTTAAAAGTTGAAATTGGAAGAATTTATGGTGTACAGGGGAAAAATAATATATCATTAAATCTTACATATTATATTAACTATATTTACATAGAATAAGGTTATTAATTTCCTTCAAATTACATTTCAGATTATCTTAGTCTAACAACTCTGTCAGGCAGTGAGAAAAATAGTGTTAGTCATTATATACCAGTATATTATATGAGTTCAGATATATCATGAATCATATCATGACCTGAAATGTAGTTTCACATTGTAAAAGTGTGATATTAACATACATAGTAAATTAAATGGTAATTTGTTCTAAAACTGGTATAATATAGGGGTTCCACTTATAAAATGTATACCACTTTATATAAAGTGTAAAAATTTTTTAAATAATTGAAGTTTTATAACTGTAATAGTATTTATATATACTAGGGAGGTTGATATTACAGAAAGTCTTTAGACATCTTACAGATTAAAAAAACTTCAGTAGGGCGCCTGGGTGGCTCAGTCGTTAAGCATCTGCCTTCGGCTCAGGTCATGATCCCGGGGTTCTGGGATCAAGCCCCACATCAGGCTCTCTGCTCAGCCAGGAGCCTGCTTCTCCCTCTCCCACTCCCCCTGCTTATGTTCCCTCTCTCACTGTGTCTCTCTATGTCAAATAAATAAATAAATAAAATCTTAAAAAAAAAAACAAAACAGTAAAATGAACAGTTGCCACTTAATTTTTATAATCTTGCCTTTCTTTAAATATGATATACTTGAATTTCTTTACAATTAATTGTTAAAGGCTAAGTTTACCTTCCATAGTTGACTTGACCTTTGTCTATTCAAATAGGAAAAGCAGAACAAATTTCTTATAACACTAATATTTATAGATATGTACATACATATATATGTTTTTTTCTAGTCTTACCTGAATTTATAACATTTCATATGTGAAAAATACTTGCAGGTCCTTAATAACTAAACCATTTCTATAAGTCAGTCACTTAAAAAACACTTGTCAGCGATTGCAAAAACTCTGTAAATTTGCTAAAAAATCATACTTAAAACAAGTGAATTTTACATATATAACCGCACCTCAACAAAGCTGTTAAAAAATTTGTCAGAGCAACCACACAGATATTTCTGCCAAAACAACAGAGATGATGTTTTCGTTTTATCGTAGGAGAATAGATGTTTTGTTTTTATCTTAAGAAATGGGCAGTTTTTCCTACTGACTCAATGCCAAGTCATCATTGGGAGCCTGATAAATGTATTTTGCAACTTGGCAGGTAAAGTCAGGGAATTCCCAAGAAGCTAACTTTCATTCCCCCACATCTTCCCTATCCAATCACATCTTAACACAGCTGGGTGAGAGGAAGAACACTCTGATTTTGGCTGATGTGCAAGTCTATACTTTTATAGACTTGCAATAGCAGTGCTTGTTTATTTTTTGTGGTTTGTTTAGACATTTTTATATAAGACAGATTGTCCCCGGATAATGGTCAGAATGTACAGGCCTTGTAGAACGTGTGTGGAAGGCCACATGTCATTTAAACACAAAAGGTCTTAATGAGAAGTAATGGTATCTTATTTCTGCAAACCTTGTTCTCTTACTCTTTTTCATAAAAGAATGTATTTCTAATCCTTGATTTAAACTAGTTATTTCACTGTATCTGATCATTTGAGCTTGTCTCTTTTCTAAAGCTTTTTTACTATTGAGAGATGCCAGCTTTAGGAAAAGGTGAACCACATACTTGAGCCTGATAAGTCTGTGATTTCTTTCTTTTTTTTTTTTTTTTAAAGATTTTATTTATTTATTTGACAGAGAGAGACACAGCGAGAGAGGGAATACAAGCAGGGGGAATGGGAGAGGGAGAAGCAGGCTTCCCGCGGAGCAGGGAGCCCGATGTGGGGCTCGATCCCAGGACCCTGGGATCATGACCTGAGCTGAAGGCAGACGCTTAACGACTGAGCCACCCAGGTGCCCCAAGTCTGTGATTTCTTATATGAATTTATATCTTAAGCCATAGCTAATTCCACGTGTTTTGATATTGTTTTGATGAAATGTAGGGATATAATTTATCTGTTCTATCATTGAAGTCAACAAAAGGAAAACCTCCCACTTTATATGACTCTATACAGTACTTAGCAGAAGACTTATAGAAGATTCCTCCCCACACACAGTGCTGGTCAGTTGTAAGGGTCTGGAGTCAGAAGAGGTCTGGGTTTGAGGTCTAGTTCTGCCACTTACTGACTTGGTGCCATTGGGAAGGCTGCTTAGCTTCTCTGTACACCAGCGCTCTCCATCTGTAAGAGGACGATAATAGTACCAGCATTACCTCAGAGGGTTATTAAGGTAATGTATAATGAATCACTGTCTAAACCATGAAGCTCAATAGAAATATGAACTACTAATGTTATTAGTGTTCTTTGAAAGTATATATCCCATCACTGCAGATATGTTCAGATTCACATTTATGTCCTTAACCATTCTGTAGGTTGTTTAGTATCTCAAGTGATTTTGTTATTTTTTTCTTCCCATAGAGCATATCATGTCCCAAGTGGGAAAATATTAGCTGTTAAGGTAAGTGCTGGATAAATTTTATGAAGTTCCTGAAATTCTTGATGCTCACTACTTTCTCTTCCCCTGTTAGCTTGAGTCAGAGGTATCGTGAAAGAGGAGATAAAATAGTTTAAGTTTTGAATGGTAGGTTATGGAAGCTATGGTCCTGTTGTGATATTCAGCCCCTCCTCTCTCAGAGGGTACCTTCACCACCTCAAGCACTGCTTTCCTATCTATTATTTGTTCCTTTAGATATCATAACTCTTAGATTGTTGCCGGTAATAGATTTAAAGAAAGTCAACTTCAGGTTATTCACTTGTAGAGAAGGGAGCATGCCTATAAATAATCTAAAAAACAACTATTTGGCCTTGCAAGTGCATTATAATTTCTCATAATTTCATACATTTTGAATTATGTTTAACCTAGGCTAATATTAAAATTCTTGTGCATGATTATTTAGTTGGGTATGGCAAGGTGCTACCAGCTAATTCTAGATACGATTAAAAGCAATTTTAAAGAAAGGACACATTAAAAAAAAAGCTGTTAGAGACTTTGAATAAATGAAAACAGTAGGTGTTTACAAATATACTTTGTACTAAGACCTGACCATAAAACTGAGCTTTAGAACGAGGACTATACTGTAATCACTTTATATCCCTAGATTCTATAAAATTTGTAAGACATACTAGATGCTTAAACTGAGTTGAATGAATGATTTAAGAGTAGGTATGATTGTTGTGTTTAAACTTCATCTGAGTTAAATGAATGAATGATTTAAGAGTAGATACAATTAGTGGTGCCTAGGTGGCTCAGTTGGTTAAGCATCTGACTCTTGGTTTTGGCTCATGTCATGATCTCAGGGTCTTGAGATCAAGCCCCACATCAGGCTCCACGCTCCACATGGAGTCTGCTTGAGATTCTCTCCCTCTCCCTCTGCCCCTCCTGCTCGTGCTCTTTCTCTTTCTCTCTCTAAAATGAATGAATAAATCTTAAATAAAAATAAATTTCTTGTTTAGCCCTGAGCTTCTTAGCAGCCAAGGCAAAAACCATGTTACTTATTTAATAGTCATGCTCTGAGAGAAAGAAATGGCACATTTCTTCAAAACAGGCAGTTGTTTTTTTTTAAATTAAATCTTAAAGTGGGGTGCCTCGGTGGCTCAGATGGTTAACCATCTGCCTTCAGCTCAGGTCATGATCCCAGGCTCCCGGGATCGAGTCCCACATCAGGCTCCCTGCTCAGCAGGGAGCCTTCTTCTCCCTCTCCTCCTCCCCCTGCTTGTGCTCTCTCTCTCTCTCTCTCTGTCAAATAAATAAATAAAATCTTTTAAAATACAAAAATAAAAATCTTAAAGTGTGTTATTTAGTTTCCAAATATTTGGAGATTTTCCAGATATCTTTTCATTATTGATTTCTAATTTAAGTCTGTTGTGGTCAGAGAACATACTTTGTATAATTGGAATTATTTTAAATGTATTGAGATTTGTTTTATGGCCCAAAACATTAATTATTTTGGTGTTTCCTGTGCACGTGAAAAAAATGTTGTATAGGGTGTTGTATAAGTGTCAATTAGATCAAGCTGACTGACAGTGTTCAAAATTTCTGTATATTTACTGTTTTTTATCTGCTTGTTCAGTCAACTATTGAAAGATGGGTGTTGAAATCTTCAGCAATAATTGTGGGTTTGTCTATTTTTTTTCCTTGCAGTTCTATCATTTTTTTTCTTCATGTTTTTTGAAGATCTATTAGATGTATTTAGGATTATTATGTCTTCTTGATGAATTGCCACCTTTATTGTTTCATTACAAAAGTGACCCTTCTTTAGCCATGGTAATATTCTTTGCTCTGAAATCTACATTGTCTGATATTAATATAGACAGCTACTGGAGCTTATGTTAACATGATAGAGCCTTTTACTTTTAACCTGTTGTGTCTTTTTATTTGAGATAAATTTCTTGTAGCCAGAATGCAGTTGGGTCTTGTATTTTAATCCATTCTAATAATTTCTGCTTTTTAATTGGGGCATTTAGACCATTAACATTTCATGTGATTATTGCTGTGGCTGGATTCAGTTCTGTCATCTTGCTCTTAATTTTCTATTCTGTCTTTATGTCCTTTTTCTTGAGTGGTTGCTTCAGAGTTTATAGTATATATCTTTAATTTATCATAGTCTACCTTCAAGTAATATTGTACCAGTATCTATAGTATGAGAACTTTGTAATAGTATACTTTTCATTTCCCTCATCCTCAACCTGTTTGTTTTTATCATACATTTTAGTTTCTCATATGTTATGAACCCCAAAATGCATTGTTATTATTTTTTATTTAGACAATTATTTGTCTTTTAAAGACATTTCAAAAGTAAGTTAAGATTTCTTTTATATTTACTCTTGTTTTTACCAACCCCAGTGCTCTTCATTCAATTGTGTAGATTGAGACTTTCATCTGGTACCACTTTTCTTTTGCCTGAAGGACTCTCTTCTTTTACATTTCTTATAGCGCATGAGTCTTCTGGTAATGAATTCTTTTAGCTTTTGCATGTCTGAAAAATGTATATTTGATCTTTCATTTTTGGAAGATGTTTTCACCAGATGGAGAATTCTAGGTTGATCACCCTTTTCTTTCAACATTTGAAAGATTTTGTTTCACAGTTTTCTGGTTTGTGTTCTTTCCAATGAAAAGCTTACTGTCATTTAAAATCTTTATTATTTTGCACATTAGAACTGACTTCTCTGGCTGCTTTTAGGATTTTTTTTTTTATCACTAGTCTTATGCAGTTTGATGATAATGAGCTTTTATGTAATTTTCTTCTTGATTCATACACTTAGGATTTGTTGAGATTCTTGGCTCTGTGGATTTTTAGCTTTCATCCAAATTTGGGAAAATTTTAGCCATTATCTCCCTCCTCCCCCAACTTCGGAACTTAAATTGCATATGTATTAGGTTACTTGAAGTTGTCCTGCAGCAGAATGATGCTCTGTTGTTTGCTTTAGTCTTTTTTTCTCTCTAATGGTTCATTTTTGGGTAGTTTCTATTGTCAAATACTCAAGTTTTCATCTGCATTGTTTAATCTATTAATTTCGTCCATTGTATTTTTCATTTCAGACACTGAACTTTTTGTCCCTAGAAGTTTATGGGTCTTTTTTACATCTTCCATGTCTTTACTTAACATGCTCAATTTTCCTTCTATCTTCCTGAATATATGTAATGTAGTTATGGAATATGTGGAATATAATTAACTGAATTCATGGTTTTGTTTATTAATTCCATCATATGCGTCATTTGGAGTCAGTTTTGACTGATTGCTTTTTCTCCTCATTTTGGGTTATATTTTCTTATTTTTTTTAAAGATTTGTTTTTATTTAGGAGAGAAAGAGAGTGAGCAAGTTGGGGAAGGGGAAGAGGGAGAAAGAGAATCCCTTTGGTCTTCTGCCAGGGAGCTCTTGCTGCCTTGGCTTCCTCAGACCCCCAGTTCCATCTCCTCAACATAGGGAGATGGCTGAGCTTTGCCTGGAATTCCCAGCCTGTCCAGGAGCCTGCACACTCTCTAGTCAGTAAGCTAGACAAATCATAGGGCTCCTCTTATTTGTTTTCCATCTCTCAAGGATCATTATCCTGTTTTAACTGTTGTCAACGTCTGGACACCTGTTAATTTTTCTGGGTTTGGTTTGGTTTTATTTTGGATCTATTCCTTTCTTGTCACCTCTCCAGTCCAGATGCTTGTTTTGTCTCTTGTCAGACTTTGAACAGAGTTTAAAGTGTTCTCTCAGAAACGGAAGTTGCTATTTATTGATCATTTATACTGTGCTAATAAGCACTCTACATACCCTCTCCTCATTTAATTATGAGTTAATTAATAAATAGCTTGCTGAAGGTCTCACAACTAATAGAACTAGGATTTGAAGTCAGGAAAGTCTTGCCCCAAGTTCATGCTCTCAACCTGTGTACTATATTGCTGCTCACTGTCCTTAGATTTGGCTTCCTAAAGCATAGTTCTGGTCACATCTCTTCCCTTTTAAAAATCTTCAAAGGCTCTATATTACTCCCAACTAAACTAAAAACTCTACAGGATGAAACTCAAGATCTTGCACAGTATGTCATCAGCTACTTTTTATAGCATTATCTTATGTGTCTGAATGCCATGCTTCTTTTAAGTTGAACTCTTTGCTTTATCTGAACCCAGGTACTTTCACACTTGAACACTTTGATTCACATATTTTTCTCTAATTAGAATGCCTTCACCCATGTCTCTACCTATCAAAATTCTTAACACCCTTCAAGGGTCAGCTCCAAAGCCCACTCCTCTATTGAACTTACGTAGATAAATCCTGTCACATATGGTCTATCACTCACTCACTCACTTTCTCCTTTGAACCTCTCTAGAATTCTCTGTATGTGTTTCTTACGGATGTTCTCACATACTGCCTTGTATTTTGCTATTAATATACATGTGCATTTCTCTCCTTACATTCAAATCTCTTTGTAAGTAGAGAACAGATCTTATTTATCTTCTTGTCTTACTCATTGAATCATGCAGAACCTTGCATTTGGGCTTAGAGGATTGCATGTAATAACTAGATGTTCAACACATAATTTGTTGAATGACTAAATAAATAAGTTTGGTTCTTCCGTTTGTTCTTCATTCATTCATCTTCTGAAGCAGCATCTTGAAAGCAGGTTCAGCTCACATACAAAAGAAACCATAGTGTTCTTTGTATGGACCATTGCTCTCACCCTGAGTAGTTCTTAGCTTTTTTTTTTTATACTAAAGGGTGAAATGAAAGGTTAAGAGTTAGAAGTGCATTTGATCTTTTCCTGACCCTCTCCTGACTTTTGTGTGACTTCAAGCATGTCACTTGAACCTCTCTGTGACCTCAGCTGTGGAACGGGGCTACCTCATGTCACAGAGGGATTGTGAAGAGCAGCAAATCACAGTCCTTGTCTAAACAGAATCACCTGCAGGGCTCTGACGCCTGCATAGAATGATGAGGGAAATTTAATTTTCCAAGCCAAGTGGTCAGTTGGACCAACACTTTGAATGTCTGTGGGAGTAATTAGATGAGAGTCCTTGAAAATCCATTACTTTTCTTTTCCTACTCAAAATATTTCTATTTTTTGTACTTCTAAATGTTCTTACTTTTTTTAGAATAACAAAAGAATATTTTAGTGTTTCCCCTTTCAAACTTCAAAGGTGGGAAAACATCACCAGATATTTTAATAAGCAAGTTGAATTTGGGGAAGAACAGAAATATCTTGGATTTTTATTTTATACCAGTGAATTTAGAAAAATTTCTACCTTCAAGAGAACATTTTGAAAAATGCTAACTAAAGATAACCATTTGATAATGACTGTAATTCATGAAATGTGTTTCTAACTCACTTTATTGGGGGACGGGGGTGGAGGTAAGCAAGATAGTTGCAAACAAGTAGAGCAGAAAACAAATAAAAATAATGTTAACCATCTTGGCAAACAGAACCCTTTTTGTATCATAAATGTATTCTATAAAATCTTTTGAAGTACAGCCTAACAGATTTCCTAATATTTTTTATTTTCTAATTGGGAAAAAGTCACCTAAGAGGAAATTTCTTAGCTTGTATATAGCATGTGCTGATTATCATTCTTTGACTGCTTTGGGTTTCTCCTGCTTTTAAACTAGCATTTAAATGGACCATTTGATTAATCATTTATATACTGACTGTAATCCTCCCAAATTTCCTTTCTGAGTTGTACATACTGTAAAAGACAATTATGTCGCCACAGATTAAATAAGCGAATTAAAACAGAATAGAAGCTTAATTTGACCTGTGATTTTGCTTTCCTTCCCTTTAGTGGAGTGTATGCCACTCCAGCAAATAAATGAAGTCATCCATGACAGCTTGTGATGAATTGCCGTATTTATATTGTATATTTTAATAGCCTCACACTAATTTAAATTGAGCACAGAGTAAATTATAATTCAGTCACTTGACTGCTTATATTTAACTTGACAACTCATCCTTATTTGTCCTGGAGGTGTAGTGGAGAGCAGCAGAAATGCACCCAGGTATTTCAGTTTCTCACTTAACCCTTTCTTCCTGAAATGCTTCATGTGCAGATCCTTTCCAGTTTGAAAAATTGAGCTTTTCCTAAGGAGGGAAAAAAAAATCACAATAATAATGAAGACTCAGAGAGTCCATACTTTCCTTGTACTTTAAAAAGAAAATTAGAATTTGCCATGCTTTTTTCCATTGCTTTCAAATAAGGAATTGGACTTATTTTTAGCAGTTTAAAAGCTCACTCCCAGGAATGCCCAAGGGAAGGAGACTTAACCTTCTACCTAGAGTGCCAAGTCTCCCAGAAAATAGAAGAGCATTTCAGTAGAGTTATTTTAAGGTGAATTTTACTTTCCCTCTTAAGTTCCAGAAATCACTTTGTTCACTTTTGCACCATTATGGAATCTCCGCTATTCTGGCCCATAACAAATACCGGGAATGATCAAGACCCACTAGAATGCAGTGGATTGGCCCCACAAATACAGTATTACTTGCTACATTTTAGGTCAGTGTGGCACTTTTATTTATTTTGGTGTTTATGTCTTCAGTGTTAAATTCAGTTGTAGAAATCAAGCAATCCACCTCCTTCCTGTGTAGAAACAGCTTCTTATTTAGAGGATTATGGTTGTAAGGAGCACTTTAATTAAATCCCACATCACTTAATGGGCACTGCTGTAAGAAAGACCCTGTGCTGGGTGCTGGCTGTAGGGGCAGGGGGACCAGAGAAAGATGCCCAAGACCCAGTGCTTTCCTTCGTGGGGCTTACAACCACTTTACTCTCTAGGCTTGTGGTTTTAGGAGGGAGATAGGCATGAATGCCAAGGTAGAATGTGAGAAGGGGCATTCATTGTCAAGGGCCAGAGCTAGAGATAAATTCTGGGGGCGCCTGGGTGGCTCAGTCGTTAAGCATCTGCCTTCAGCTCGGGTCATGATCCCAGGGTCCTGGGATCGAGCCCCACATCGGGCTCCCTGCTCAGCAGGAAACCTGCTTCTCCCTCTCCCACTCCCCCTGCTTGTGTTCCTGCTCTCGCTATGTCTCTCTCTGTCAAATAAATAAAATCTTAAAAAAAAAAAATTAGAGATAAATTCTGATAGAGGGCTTTGGGGCTGGCTTCATGGAGGTGGTGGTGGTGTCATTCAAGCTGGGTCCAAAAGATAAGAAAGGTTTTATGATTAGTAACTGTGGGTGGAGTGAGGAAGCATACCTCCAGTGGAGGGAACATCAAGAGCGAAGACTGAAAGTGGGGAAAGCACAGGACCTGTGTGTGGATCACCAGGACAAAGCACCTAGTGTCTGAATTGGTGGTATGGTGGTGAGCGTAGCTGCCTTTCATATCATCTGGCTTCACATGAGAATTGGGTTTGCAGTGGGGAGCAGTGGGAAAAGGAGTTGGAATAACTAGATTGTGGAAGGATTCTTTGAATGTTGTGCTATAGTTTTAATGTTATGTTAGGCCATGGACACCTAATTAAGGTTCTTTTTTTTTTAAAGATTTTATTTATTTATTTTGACAGAGAGAGTGAGAGACAGCGAGAGAGGGAACACAAGCAGGGGGAGTGGGAGAGGGAGAAGCAGGCTTCCCGCGGAGCAGGGAGCCCAATGCGGGGCTCGATCCCAGGACCCTGGGATCATGACCTGAGCCGAAGGCAGACGCTTAACGACTGAGCCACCCAGGTGCCCCTAATTAAGGTTCTCGATCAAGGGAATGATATGTTTACAGCCAGTAGTTTGGGGTTAATTGCAAGGTGTTGGCTCACTATGTGGAATCCTGCCGTTTCTGGATTGGGGGCCTGGAGATGCAGTATATCTTAGTAATCATACAGAGTACTGAATAAATGACATTTTCGAAAACTTAGATAAGTGGTTCTCAACCTTACTTACTGTGGGTTAGAAATCAGGTGGAGCGTTTTTTAAGAATATCAAGACGTGGGCCCAACCCACAATTGATTCCATTCTTCTGGGGTAAGGCCTGTGCACCAGGATTTGTTTAAAGTACCCTCATGTATTGATATAAATACCTTTATATAAAAGTAATAATAATATGCTAGGGTTGAGAACAACTGGTCTGAGGTAAATAATAAGTTCATTCCTTTTCGTAGATTTTTGGGGTGAAAGAGTCCCTACACTTGACATAGTGGTGTGAATAGTTCTGATATTTTATGGCATGGAATTGAAACAACACTAGATGAATTTATTTTGTCACTAAGTTTTATACAGGAACAAAAATGTTAGTGAATATTGTTGGCAAATGACTATTGATCTAGAGAAATGTTTAAATGTTTCTCGGCAGTTTTGTATTACACTTACAATCTAGTTTAGTGAGAGCTTTTATAAATAACCCTAAAGCAAAAACTCTTGATAGAAACTGGCCATGCCTTTTCCCCCCTCACTTTCCCCTCCCCCAAATGGATGTCAGTACTATAAAACGTGTTTTAAAATTATCCTTTTCTTTCCTTGCTCTGTCAGCAGTTTGCAATTCATAATTTATGGGTTTTTTTTTTCCCACTGTGAGTGCATATATTCTGAGGTTGTAATACAAAATCTGTTTCAGTGTTGCATGGTGTATAACTGCACTATCATGGTAATCGTGAATGTTAAGTTTTTATCTAGAAATGTCTAGAGTCAGAAACTCTGCCACAAATCTTAAAAATTATCTTTCACCTGTTTTATTCTCAGCACTGTTTTTTTTTTTAAGATTTTATTTATTTATTTGAGAGAGAGAGAGAGGAGAGACAGTGAGAGAGTACAAGCGGGAAGGAGAGGGAGAAGCAGGCTCCCTGCAAAGCAGGGAGCCCGATGTGGGGCTCGATCCCAGGATTCTGGGATCATGACCTGAGCCGAAGGCAGATGCTTAACGACTGAGCCACCCAGGCACCCCACAGCGCTGTCTTTTTTAAGTAAAAACAATTTCCCTTGAATTGGCTTCACTGAACTGTTAAGTAAAATTTGAACAGTTGACAGTCTCCTTTCCTAAGAAACAAGTGTTTGAAATAAACTAGAACTTATTCTAAGTAAGTTTGTAAATTGTTTTACATTTCCATGTTACCAATCTTCCTCAGTGGTTGATGCTTTAAGGAAAAACCATAAACCACCAGGACATTCTAAGAGGTATCTGGGAGTCAGGGAGGGACCTTGACATTGCCAGGCTATGTGGCTTCTCAGCACCTTGCTTTCCTCCTTTAAATCAAGAGAATTAGATGAAATCATTTCTGTGGCTCCTTCAAGCTCCAGCATTTTATTATAGTATTAGCAAAGAAACATGACTTTGAAAAATATAAAAAGATGATGTATTTTTAAAACTCCATATTTCTCTCATAGCTAAAAAACCTACTTTAAATGTCATTTTTACTCATCATCCTCTCTGCTTATCACCTAGTGTCTGAATTACAAGACAATTTTTTTTTAACGGTTTCAGGGTCATTCCTTTCTTCCTTTTCTGGAAATAACCAGTGTGGCCAAAATAGGGTATATAAATTAAGGGTGTTATAACTTAACTGACTTTTAAAGCCAATAATACTGACCTTTGAGACCTGGCTTTTTCCTTGGTCCCATCAATCACTTCTATACCACCTCCCCCAATACAAAGGGTTAGGCAGATGTGGGTACAGTTTGTATTCCTGAGGGTTAGAGTAGTGGAGAGGATAAAAAGGGGGCAATGAAAAGAGGAAACACCATATTTTTTCCTTTTTATATTTCATAGTGAGTATAGCTATATTTAATTTAAAGGTGAATATATGTGTAAATGTTGATTCCTTTCTGTATTTAGGTCATACTGCTAGATATTACACTGGAACTTCAGAAGCAAATTATGTCTGAATTGGAAATTCTTTATAAGGTAATTTTTCTTGGTCATTTTTTCTCATAAAGCATCTTACGGTATTGGCTTGCAGGTTTGTTTGTTTTTAACTACCTTTGTCTTATTTTTGTTACAGTGTGATTCATCATATATCATAGGGTTTTATGGTGCGTTTTTCGTAGAAAACAGGATTTCAATATGTACAGAATTCATGGATGGTGAGTTTTCCCTATTATAATATTTTAAAAATGATTCGGAAGGTAGAGTACTTTAAAACCTGGTTCTGATATAGATGTCAAGTAGAATTAAAAATAATTAAAATATACTAATAATTACCTCCTTTATACTCTAAACATCTCAGTGTTAGAGGTTCCTGGTGTTAAATATTTACAGCTGAGGTCTAATTTCAAGAATGTAATTTCATTTACTTTTATTGAAAATTTAAATAGAACAGATTAAATGCTGGTCTAATCAGTGGTTTGATATTTGATTCTTCCATACAGTCTGTCCTTACAGATGTTCTGTTCTTCTAATGTTTCAATAGCCAAAACAGATTTTCTTTTAAAGAAATCTATTAACCCAATGTCCTGTGTCTTTTAGAAAGAAATCGGTTCTTAATTGCAAGATAAGAAATTGTTTTTCAACACAGCTGTTTAGCCAAGATGCGTTTAGTTTTCTTTGGACTCTAGCCCTTTCCTTTCATCTGTATTTTTCATTCATTTCTATGTTGCTAACTCTTTCTTGATCTGAATATTTTGGCAAAATGCAGATTTCTTGGTACCCTATCCCTGAAATGATGTCATCATTGTTACCCATTTTAAATCAAAGCAATCTTTAGATTTTACATATCAGTTTTTCAATGTCTAGCTCATTAAAACTCAACATTTTTTTAATATACTTAGTTCATCTGGGGGATTCTCAGTATATTACTAAAGCAACTAGTTCATGCCTTGCAAGACTTTTTAATAAGCCAACATTGGTACCTTGATAATATAATAAGGTATATCATGTGTTCTAAATTCAGTTTCATTAAAATATGTATTTATTGAGATGGCATATTTAATCACCAAAAAATCACCGTTTTGATGTATACAATTCAGTGGTTTTGAGTATATTCACAAGGTTGTGCAACCTCATCATCACTAATTCCAAAACATTTTTAATCACCCCAGAAACAAACTCCTTAGCCTTTAGCAGCCGCTCGCTCTTCCCTAATTCCACTAATCTGTGGCAACAACTAATCTACTTTGTGTCTCTAGATTTCCTTATTTTTGACTTTTTATGTAAACGGAATCATGCAGTATGTGGCCTTTGTGTCTGGCTTCTTATACTTAGCATAATGTTCTTAAGGTTTATCCATGTTGTAGCATGTATCAGTACTTTATTCCTTTTTATGGCCAAATAATAATCCATTGCATGGACATACCACATTTTCTTCATTCATTCATCAGTTAATGGGCACTTGGGATGTTTCCACTTTTGGGCTGTTATGAATAGTGCTGCTCTGTGCATTTGTGTACAAGTTTTCGTGTGGACATACGTTTTCAGTTCTCTTAAGTGTCTATATCTAGAAGTTAAATTGCTGGGTCATATGGTAACTCTATGTGCAATTTTTTGAGGAACTGCCAAACTGTTCCATTCTATTTCACACCAGTTTGCCTTTACACCTGCAATGTATGAGGGTTCCAAATCCTCAACATCTTTGCCAACACTTGTTACTGTGTTTTTTTTTATTATAGCCTGGTGAGAAATGGTATCTCTTTAGTTTTGATTTAGATTTCTTTTTTTTTTTTTTTTTAAGATTTTATTTATTTATTTGACAGAGAGAGACACAGCGAAAGAGGGAACACAAGCCGGGGGAGTGGGAGAGGGAGAAGCAGGCTTCTCACGGGGCAGGGAGCCTGATGCGGGGCTCGATCCCAGGACCCTGGGATCACAACCTGAGCCGAAGGCAGATGCTTAACGACTGAGCCACCTGGGCGCCCCTGATTTAGATTTCTTAATGACTGATGACGTTGACAGTATTTCCATGTGCTTATTGGCCATTTGTATATCTTCCTTGCAGAAATGTGTATTCAAATCCTTTGTCTATCTTTACATGGGTTACTTGTGTTCTTATTGTTGAGTTTGTAAGAATTCTTTTTATATTCTGGATACTAGACTCTTATCAGATGTGTGATTTGCAAATATTTTCTTCCATTCTGTGAGTTGTCTTTTAATTTTCTTGATAGTGTCCTTTGAAGCACAAAAGTTTTAAAATTTGATGAAGTTCAGTTCGTCTGTTTTTTCTTTGGTTGTTGTGCTTTAGATGTCATATGTGAGAAACTGTTGAAAATTTATACCTGCTTTCTTCTAAGAACTTTATAATTTTCACTCTTACATTTAAGTTTTTGATCCATTTTGAGTTACTTTTGTATATGGTATAGAGTCCAAATCCATTCTTTTGCATGTGAATATCCAGTTGTCCTAGCACCATTTGTTAAGAAGATTATTCTTTCCCATTGAATTTTCTTGGCACTCTTGTCAAAAACTTATTGACCATGAAATATATTTCTGGGCTTTTGATTCTATTCCATTGATCTATTTGCCCATCCTTGTGGCAGTACCAGACTGCACTTGCTTGCTTTTACTTTATTATTCTAGATGCTTTGTGGTAAGCTTTAAATTAAGAAGTGTGAGCACTCTGACTTTATTCTTTCTTGGTGATTTTGGCCATTCTGGGTCCTTTGCATTTTCATATGAATTTTGTAATCAGCTTGCTAAATTTGCACACACACCAAAAAAGGTCCAGATAGGATTTTGATACAGCTTGCAGTGAATCTATAGATCAATCTGGGGAGTACTGCCAACTTAGCAATATTAAGTCTTTCACTCCATGAACACAGACTGTCTTTCCATTTATTCATATCCTCTTTAATTTTTTTCAGTGTTTTATAGTTTCCGGTGTTCAGGTTTTGCAGTTATTTTGTTAAACTTATTCCTAAATATTCTTTGATACTATTATATGTTGAACTTTTAATTTCATTTTTAATTGTTCATTGCTAGTGTATAGAAATATAAATGAGTTTTGTATATTGTTCTTGTATCCTGCTACCTTGCTAAACTTGTTTCTTAACCCTAATAGGTTTTCGTAGATTCCTTAGGGTTTTCTATATAGATCATGACACCTGCAAATAGATGTAGTTTTACTTCTTCTTTCCAATCTGGATGCTTTTTATTTCTCTTCCTTGCTTAACTACCCTGGCTACGGCCTTCAGTACAGTGTCAGGTAGAAGTGGTGAGGGCGGACATCTTTATTTTGCTCCTGATCTTAGAGGGAAAGCTTTTAGTCTTTCACTATTAAGTGTGGTATTAGTTGTGGGTTTTTAGTAGATGTCCTTTATTGGGTTGTCAAAGTCCCCTTCTCTTCCAAGTTTGTTGAGTATTTTTATCATGAAAAGGCATTAGATTTTGTCAGGTGGTTTTTCTGTGTTTGTTGAAATGATCATGCGGGCGCCTGGGTGGCTCAGTTGGTTAAGCCATCCGATTCCTGATTTCAACTCAGCTCATGATCTCAGGGTTGTGAGATTGAGCCCCACGTCAGGCTCTGTGCTTAGGAGGGAGTCTGCTTAAGATTCTCTCCCTCTCCCTTTGACCCTCCCCTCCATGCTCTCTCTCTCTCTCTCAAATAAATAAATAAATCTTTAAGAGAAGAGTCTTAAAAAGAACTATAGAAATATATGAACAAAAGAAGAGAATAATCCAATCCCCAAGATGTCCCCTTAAATATTTTGTTATTCTGTTGTTAGGTGCGTATGTGTTTATAATTGTTATATCTTCACGATGGATTGACTCTTCTATCGTTATAAAATGTTTTTGTCTCTAGTCACTGTATTTGTCTAAAAGTCTATTTTGTCTAATATTAGTGTGGTCATCCCAGCTCTCTGTTGATTCTTATTTGCTTATTATATCTTTTGCTATTTGGCCTTCAACCTATTTGAATCTTTGAATCTAAAGTGCATCTCTTGTAGACATAGAGTTGGGTCATTTTTTTAATCTGTTCTGCCAATCTGTCAGTATTTAATTCATTTACATTTAATATAATTATCAGGAGTGCGTGGGTGGTGCAGTCAGTTAAGTGTCTGACTGTTGGTTTTGGCTCAGGTCGTGATCTTGGGGTCATGAGATGGAGACCCATGTCAGACTCTGTGCTCAGTGTGGAGTGTGCTTGGGATTCTCTCTCCCTCTCCCTCTGCCCTGCCACCCCCAAATAATAACTAAATCTTTAATATAATTACCAGCAAGGTAGGATTCATATCTGCCATTTTACTACTTGTTTTCTTTACATCTTACATCTTTTATGTTCCTTTGTTTCTCCATTACTGCTTTATTTTATGTTAAATAGATATTTTTTAATGTATTGCTTAAATTCTCTTGTGGTTTCTTTTACTATATTTTTTGAGTTATATTTTTGGATTTCCTAGAGATTATTATTAACATTTTAACTTGTAACAACTTAGTTCCAATCGATATCAACTTTTTTTCAAGTATATAAAAACACTGCTTCTATATAGCTCCATTCTTTCCCTCTCCTTTATACTGTTATTGCCATGTAAGTTACATCTTTATAAGTTGTATGCTTATTAATGCAGATTTATACTTACTGTTTTTTGCAGTTCTCTTTTTTATTTATTTATTTTTTTAAAAGATTTTATTCACTTGACAGAGACACACAGCAAGAGAGGGAACACAGGCAGGGGGAGGGGGGAGGGAGAAGCAGACTCCAGGCTGAGCAGGGAGCCCGATGCGGGGCTCAATCCCAGGACCCTGGGATTATGACCTGAGCCAAAGGCAGACGCCCAATGACAGAGCCATCCAGGTGCTCCTGCAGTTCTCTTTTAAATCAGATAGGAGAAAAAGACTTACAAATAAAAAATACATGTATCTTGTCTTTTGTATTTACCTATATAGTAACCTCTACCAGTGTACTGTATTTCTTTGTGTGGATTTGAGTTACTGTCTAGTAACTTTCCTCTGAAATTCCTTCAGTCTGAAGGACTCCCTTTTATTTCTTAAAAGATTTTATATATTTATTTTAGAGAAAGAGAGAGAGAGAGCAGAGAGAGGAGCAGAGGAAGAGGGAGAGAGATAATCTCCAGCAGACTCCAGGATGAGCGCAGAGCCCTATGTGGGGCTCGATCTCATGACCCTGAGATCATGACCTGAGCCAAAACCAAGA